GTAAACCTGAAGTATTACAAAATACTATAACGAGAAATAAAACGGAGTGAACTGAGTTTCTAGCACGTATAACCATAACGCCAGAAACTAAAGATTGACGACCGTGAGAGGACCTTGCAGTGTTGTGTTGTGCTGCCTACGGGTGGCATGCACATCATTTGGAATCGAAGCAGTGTTGCATGAGGATGATGGACATGGATCACTTCATGCTCAGTCGAAGCGTATGGCTTCAAAGAGCGTTGCAGCCTCTGCACCTACAAGCAGGGGCTTATGTGCATAGAGGCATTATTTGCTAGGGGGCACCTTCAGTGTATAGTCAGACAATCAAACACTGCAATTGCTGAAGAGGCACCTGACATTGTCAGAAAACCTTGTCAGGCGGTCTTCCTAAGTTGACGCCTTTGACTTCGAGTTGAAGTACAAGAAGGGCGAGCACAATTGGGTTGCAGCCCGTTGCAGCTACGCTATCAAGAAGACAAGGATTCACGAGTGCAACACTGCAATCTTGTCAGAATGGATATTCAGTGGGAGGATATGGTGCAGATCCCATACTACTGAGAGACAAGTGCGGATTTGGCGAAGGATCGGACTTTAGTGACGGGTTACGTCTTGGAAAGAGGACTGCTGTTCATAGAGAGCAATGGATGCGGCGATTATGTGCCCCGTCGCAGCAACGTCTGAGGGCAAAAGTGTTTGAAGAATGCCATGATGCGTGCGGACACACTCCAGATTTGAGAACACATGCACGCGGTCGTTGGAATACCTCGATTACCGTCTTCGCCCAAATAGAACGCCCTATCACTGCATTTTGTGGACTGGAAGTTGCTCCAAATACGGCTATAACGACCCGGCGTTCTATTGGGGTGAAGACGGTAGCCTTCGATGTTGAATCGTACAATCGCATATGTGAGGAGTTGCCCCAGTCTGTCCTTCGGCGGGACGCAAGGAAGTGTGTGTGCGTATATTGTTGTATTCTCTTTGACTTGCCAGTGGAAAAGGAACCGGACTGACGCTCCGCAGAATGGATATGAACTTATGAAGCGAGGACCACAACGTCCTTTTTTTTGGGTGGGGGGGGTGGGGGGGAAAGGAAGAGGAGTCGACCAGTCTGTCAACAAACCAAAGGGAGAAAAATGCGACAACTGTATTGACTGTTTAAGCCCCTGCCGATTCTGGATCGGTCTGGTCAGGCCACCTCCAGGAACTTCACGGGTGTGCAATGAACTTGCAGATTCTCAGTGGGTTGTCCAAGTAACAGGGTCATTTTTCAATGATTTTTGTAATTTTTCTGAGTTTTGGGTCCTACCCGATAACTGTAACAGGCCTAGTTCCTATCTGTAAAATTCCTGAAATATCCAGGCCCTAACTGTTTTTTACAGCTTGGGACTGGTACCAGCGTTACTGGAAAGTTTAGGACAAATTGTTTAGCAGAGTCCTAGGTCCTGCCTTCTTCCCCGGAATACAACGTACAATCATTAGAGGTGTATTTGGGGTGTCTTTCAGTCTAAATGCAGCTATAATGACTGTACGCTGTATTTGGGGGAAGAAGGTAGGGTCGGGTCCACTAGGTCGTAGGAAGTCTAGAAATAAATTCAGGCTGAAGGGGAACGTGGTCGTTCGACGGTGATTCAGTCTGCAAGTGGACGTGCGTTGTTTGGATGTTGGAGTTGACGCCGCCATACCTGAATGGAGCTGTGCCATAGCTGGGGCCTTTCAGCAGGGTTTGAAGGCAGCACTGAACGTGTGCTCAGGGCGCTGACATGGCGACATGGTACCTGCCTGTTCTGTTGGGGTTAGGCGCTACCATAACCACCCTGCGCAAGCTCTGTGAAAAAGCTCCTCCTGTAATTAGCCTTCTTCTCACTGATTGCATGCACCTATCATCGCACGAGAAAAGATTGGCGGCATGCAACTGTGACATGAAGGTGTGTTATGGACTGTGATTGCAACAGTGAGTTTAAACTGACTGTTGCATGAGATACACTCTCTATTCTAGAATGTCCTTCCAACAGATCATTTAACGGATCCTTCCACTGTGCTCGAAAGAAATGATGCCCACAAGCAATGGCTGTAGGTTCTCGACATCAACGGCCAGCATGATATGGAATCGTGTGCAATTCTAGTGTAGTGAAAAGACTCTGAGGAGTCTGAGGTCCATCACCATAACATAAAAAGTCTTGAGTGCAGGTGGCACTGGGTGCACGAGTGTGTTATCCCCCTCTCCATCCTCTTCTTTCCCCCTTCCCACTGAGCAATGCCACGCCCAAAAAAAAAAAAAAAAAAAGGAAGAGCTCATTGACCATAACGCTCTTGACCTTAATTCTTTGGAATGTGGCAACAGCGTTCCCTATTACCCTGCCTCCTTAAACCACCACTGCGTCCTGAAATCGCCCCAATCCAAACCGTGCAGATATCGAAAAAAGAACCGATGTGGGGCCGTTGGATTGTCGATCCAGTGGACCAACTGAACAAGGGCGGCATTCTTCCTGTTAACCATGATGGTTGTAAAAGCCTACTAAACTTAACTAAAGGTATGATTAATTTATTGCTAATTTATTTTATTAGTGGTTTAAACTTTTAACTTCAAACTTTAAAGCCATACATTCTGTTTGTCATTGTTTTGGCAGTCCCCTTGGGTTCACCAGTTGCAACCCATGCATGTTTCCTTTTTTTTTTTTTTTTTTTTCTTTGCTCCCTTCTTTTCTATGTCACCAACCATAATGCGTCAGCAAGCCTTCAAGATTTCGAGCCGCATGCTTAGAGGGTGTGGTTTACCCTCGGTGGAAGGTTTGGGACAGGCTGAGCGGTGGCCCGGGTTCCGCACTGGTACCAGTACCAAATACTGTCAATCAATAAGGTGCCAAATTCGTTCACGCTCCAGGGACCTCTGCTCAATTGATTGAAATTTGAAAAGCATGAGGCAACCGTCAGGTTGTGGTTTAGCTTGTGTCTCTTTGCAGAGGCACAACCGAGGTACTTTTGCTGGTTGCTGTATTCTGTAGCACGTAATGTGGAGTCACTCTTACCCACCCAGTGTACCCACCTTTTTTTTTTTTTTTTGATCCTTTCTATTGGTGGTGAGTGTCACCTGTTGGAAATCGGGCCCAGTGTCCCTCAACATGGTTTCTCTTTTTTCTTCAAATTTGGAAAAAGTTGGACCATTTCTCGACTCGTGCGTGCAATCCTTGTGCAGGGACAATGCTAATCATCTTTGTATTGTTCCTTTTTTTTTTCTTTTTTTTTTTATAACCACTTTTACCTTTGCCGCGTGGGAAAATAGCGGGCCTCGGTTGGGCCTCCGACCTTTTCGGAGGCGGAAACGAAACGACGGCCGCCGACCAGATTTATCAATGGCAGCCGTCATCGGGCCCGGCCTCCGACATTTTAGGAGTTTGGGAAAACGTCCACTTTTCCCTATTTTCCCAACACTGGCGGAGGTACTAGTGCTGGAGCGGGTGCGAGGATCTGGGTCCTCGGCAAGCCTAAGGGGCCCTGTTGCACATGTGCCCGCCCTAAGTGAAGGCGGGCCTAACAAATCACGAGAGGCCCTCAGCTGCCAATTTCGTATTTGGGGTCGAGGCAGTTGCAACGCGCCAGTTGGTTGAGGGAAACACAGGCCGAACTGCAAAGACATTCCACGGCCTTCCAGGCCTTCCCAAAGATGCAGGCCCTGGGCGTGAATCACAGCCTCATACACAGACAGTTGGGAGGCCCAACCGAATGAGGCCCAGTAGCTGCAACGGAGGCGCAGCATCCTGGGGCCTACCAGAAGCTTCTAGGCTGAGGCCCAGGCCAGCCCGGCCGCTAAGGCAGGCAGGCTCTTTCCATATAGGAAGGAGCTCGCTGCCTGGCAAGGCATTCAGCACTTGCATGCTGGCGGCAGTGCTGCTGGAGCGGACGCTCGTAGGCTGCTGCTGGCGCTGAGAGGCAAGGTGCTAGCGCGTGCGGTCGTGCGGGAAGCAGGGCGCTGCTGAGGGCAGCGCCCTAGCCCAGCCTTCATAGCTGGATGGGCTTGGGCGCAGGGGTGGTCTTCGTGTGTACAGAGGGAAGACGCAGTAGTAAGTCAGGGGAGAGAGAGAAGGATGATGATGATGATGATGATGTGAGGGCACACGCCTGGTATTGGCGATGGTCTGCATTGGGCAACATCTTCAACTACTTTGTGGGCTGCTGACGTCAACAGTTGCATGGTCAATTAGTAGGCAGACTGTAGCTGTGTAGGAAGTAGGCTGGGCGCCGAGCGCCAAGTAGGGAGATAGAGCCTGGACACTCATGTTGGTGGTGGCGAGAGCAAGCTGTCATTGACATTGGTTTTCAGTGTTACGATTCTTCATTGGTGTTATATTGGTGCATTTCTGCTTTCTGGTCACTGTGATACTATCTGGCCTTCAATGTGATTGTGCAATCTGGACATTGTCATCTCGCTATTGCTCATTCTCCTTGCAAGGGTGACGGACTTTCGATATCATCTGTGAACTGGCCAGCCCCCAGTAATTCGAAGTGATTTTATTCTGGTCATCTGATCGTACCTGGACTCAAACTTGGGTCTGCATTTCAACAGTTCGTTGGATGTACCAACTGAGCTACTACGCTCCGGTGGTACCGTTCCAGTTTTAATGGATGTCCCAAAGGACTTACCTTCTTTTCTTTGCTTTTTTTTCCCTTTCAATTTAATACAATTTTGGGATGCTGCAATAGGGGTTTATCTGCCGTTGAGCCGGGGAACGCGACTACCAGGCCTCCTACTGGTTCTGAGCTCCAGATGGACTTTTGAACACACGAAAAGTTGGGAAGGTAATCCCCTTATTAATTCAGGCTCTAAGGATGTTGGGGGTTGTTGAGTGTGGGCTACACACATGCTACAATTGGAATGCCAATAGGAAGCAAGGGTTAGACCAGGAGCAAATTCTGTGTATGGGGGGTTCGATCCGTCGTTAACCCGTGCTACCCCATGCTTGATGGATGGTGGGTTCACCAATGTGGGGTGAATGTTGTTGCAGGATCGTGGATGGAGGCCGCTATGAAAGGGAGGCGATTACTAATGCTGGATGAGTACAAGGAGACGTATGAGTTCTCTTCACCAAGGCTGAGCTTTCGCTTCCTCCCAATACCAGGGGCAGAGTGGGTTGGAACCTGCAAAGTGGGGTGTGCGAAGACCGGCTATGAGGCCCAAGTGCATTTCAAGGCAAAGAGTCTGTTTGGCTTGGGAGGTGGTACCAACCGTGTTGAAGGGCGAATCAAGAGCATCTCATCAAAGAAGACCTTGTACGAAATCGACGGCTACTGGGATAGGTAAATACTAAATACGATTGAGAGAGTTGATTTGATTGGTGTTCTGTGGTTGCGCAGTGTTTTAAGTGTCCTACTATTGACTTCTACAGGTAATGTTGAGCTGCAACCTGTGCTGCCTTTTTTTTTTTTTTTTTTTTTTTAAACTATTTTAGTCTATTTCTCAATTTATGCATGCCGTCCTTTCGCAGGGGCCATGCTAATCTTCTTTCGCTGTATCGTTCCGAATTTAACGGATGTCCCAAAGGACTTGTGCTGCCTTTTTCCTTTCTGTGTTTACTCTTTTTTGTGCCCCCTTCACTTTTGTTTTCCTGTGTTCAGTTGGAGTTGACCTGTGGCGTGTCTTTTTCTGTGGTTTGTGAACTGATTACAATACTGCGATTAACAAACTATGATGTTAGTGCAATGAACCTCGCAGCTCCGAACCAACTCGCACGTGCAAGATGAAGGCATTCACATGAGAGTTCACACCACACCGGGGAGATAAAACAGGAATCAGCGCCAGATGTAATTCCACTAAAAAAATATGATAATGTACAATTGGATACTTCGAGTATCCAGCGGCAACTGCTGTGACTCAACACAGCACTCCCGACACAGGTGCGTGCTCAACTCCCCCTCCCTCGATGTCTGGCTTCTCTCTCTCTCCCTCGCTCTCTT